TCCAAGTCTGGCTTCATCATTTATTAACTGTACACTGTAGGCAACATTCACCACTAACCAAACCAAGACTCAAATGCTAAGGTCCATAAGCAAGGAACAAGCAAAGAAAAAGGAGAGCTCCGAAGAGGAGGGAGCCTCTTAGGAGGGGAGAGGGTAGCACAGGGAACACTCCTGAGCAATGCATTTTGACCACTCCTTCATCACAGCCTTCAGCTCAGCGCACTAGACCCATGTCACATGTCTGCCTTCCCTACTGGAAGGTGAGCTCCATGGGCAGAGGTCCCGTGTCAAACAATGATTAATCTATCCTGGTTGGCTCAAAGGAATGCCTGAGGGTGTGTGCTCAAGGTGGCACAACATACTGCAGACCTAGAGGCAGCGGGAAGGGTGGGTAGAGCTGGAGAAGTGAGGTGGGGCTGGGCTGGGTGCTGTGAAGGCCGGGCCAAGAAGCTGAAGGTTTACTCAGCAAGCAACAGGGAGCTGCTGAAGGTTCTAAGGGGAACAGCAAAATGACCAAAAGACAGTGTTTTAGATTATTCTGATAGCCATTTAGAAAATAGATTGGAGGCAGGGCGGTCAACTGAAAGCTGCTGCACTGGTTAGGTGAGTGAAAGCTGGTGCAGGCCGAGTGCAGGCAGGGTGAGAGAAGCTGGGAAGGGAAGCCCACTGAGACTTGGTCCCTTCTCCGCATTCCCCCAGTGCCTGGCTTCACCTTTCTATAGCATGAACCTGGAGTCCTCAGGCTACACACTCCCTGAGGGTCCCATGGCTACACACTCCCTGAGGGTAATGCGCTTTCTTCTTCATCCCTCTGCCCCTGACAGAAACCCTACAGAGCCGGGCAAAAAAAGTTAGCTGGTTTCCCCTCCGTCAATCCCAGTTACTCGGATGTGTTGGTGCATTGGTGCATCTGCTTATTACAGCCCTGGGCCTGGCACACAGAAGGAGTAAGGGGAACTTGACCACAAAAGGAATTTAGCACACTCAAATGATAACAACATAGCATAGGTGCGTAGAATTCTAAAATTCTGAGTCTAGGCCTGACCAGTTGCTCAGTGGTTAGAGCACCAGCCTTCAGACTGAAGGATCCCATGTATGATTCCAGTCCAGGGCACGTGCCTTGGTTGAAGGCTTGATCCCTGGCCCCCAGGGTCACACGCAGGAGGCAACCAATAGATATGTCTCTCTCACATCTCACCAGAGATATGTCTCTCTGGTGTCTCTCCCCATCCCTTCCACTCTCTCTAAGAATCAATGGAAAAAAATATCCCATGGGTGAGGATTAACCACAACAACAAAAAACACCCACATACAAAGATTCTGAGTCTAGAGAAACCAGTTTTGGCCCTGTAAAGAATATGAAATTCAATACCATGAGCCCCTTGGACTGCAGCTAGATAACAGTGAGCTCTCCAAATGGGTATCTCTCACTTTCACAACCTGTTTGGCAGATAAATAAGAGTGAGTCAGGAGAGACCACAGTCCAAAGGTAAGCCAAGTCTTGAGTTACGGTGACTCTCATTGGAGAAGGCAAGCTCCTTTGAGATTTCCTTGGGAAAATGGCAACTGAAACAGGGAGGGCCAGGTGTGTGGACCCTGTAGGACTGACTGAGGCTGGTAGGAGAAGAAGAAGAAGATCAGAATGGACTTGAAAACCAAACTAAAGCTGTCCTCTGGCTCGAAACTTGTCTTGAACTGTCTGCTTCACGAACAGTTCTTTCAGTCCTTTCACGCTTTTCCAGCTGCTGTGTGGCGGACAGGGACATCGACTACTTCACTAGAAAGACTACTAAGCGGGGGCCTGGCACTGGGAGACCTGGGCTCCAAGTCTGGCTTTGTCATTAACCGTACACTGTAGGCAAGTCTCTGAGCCTCAGTGTCCTCATCTATAAAATGGAAATAATAATAGTGATCTCTGCCAGCAGAGTCACAGGGAGAATTCCCAGATAATGAGCAGGCACATGGCAAGACTGTCAACAAGGGTGGATTTGTTTTTTCCCCTTGAACTGAACTCACAGTTTGGCAAGAAAAGGGCTAGGCCCTAGGGTCTGACACACACCAAAACCACAGCGTAAAAGACCATGAGCGGGGAAAATACAGAGCATTGGCTTTGACATTTCCTGAAGAAGAGGTACACTTGCAGGTGGCTCTGGGTTGGCCTAGGCCTATGGTCGGCAAATTGGGGCTCGCGAGCCACATGCGGCTCTTTGGCCCCTTGAGTGTGGCTCTTCCACAAAATACCACGTGTGGGCTCGCGTACAGTGAGATTGAAACTTCGTGGCCCATGCGCAGAAGTCGGTTTTCAGCCTGGGCGAGTCTATTTTGAAGAAGTACTGTTGATATTTGGCTCTGTTGACTAATGAGTTTGCCGACCACTGGCCTAGGCCAATATTCAGTAAAGTAACACACTTTTCACCAAAAGCCATACAGTGGCCCCCAAACTGCCTCTGAAACCAAGCTGCGGTGCCAGACAGGGTTCAATCACTCCTGGCTAATTCACAAACATAAGGCAGTTCTGCTTCCCCCTCGAGGGCTCACCTCGTCACTTTCGGTGCCACAACAAGGTGGTACTTACATCTGGGAGATGCAGAAGGCGAGCTCTTTAAGATGATGTCATTGCAAGCAGCTCCCAGAGCCACCACATTCAAGTCAATTTGGGGTTTCAAGACACACAGGAGAGTTTTTCCTGCATAAATGAATTCTCAAACCCACCCTGGCCCTTCCCCTCAGGTCTGCAGCCAGGGCAGTGGGCTCCAATTTAAAAATTAGCCAGCTGATTGGGATTCAAAATGTGGTCTACCAACCTCAAGTTGTTGGTTTCTTTCTTTTTTCTTTCTCCTCCCAAGGAAAAAAAACACAAAACAAAACAAAACAAAAAAAACGAAGAGCAGTCAGGAAAGTGCTTTGCAACTCACTTTGCTCAAACTGGCGCCCTGCCTCTCCTCTGGATCTACTCTGCCAATTTCCAGGTGTTGCCCAGATATTTTTTAATAACCCCAGAGATTTACCAGCGTTCCAACTTGGAAGATGAATTGTCTATGGATTCACGATTTATGGTCCTCAGACCAATAACTACATGTGTCTTACTTATATGCAGACTTCCATTGATTTTTAAAATCAGACTCAGTGGCCTAAACCGCCTCTGAGTGGTGCCTAAAGAGCCAAGTGCAGGGTTAGTGTTTGCTGAATGAATAAATGGATGAATGAACACTCATACCGAGGAAAACAGCTCTTACTAACAGGCACACATACCCCCGACTCTGACCCGCATCACTTCCCCCGTCCCCAGACCCTTCCTACTGCAGCCACCGAAAAGCAAGCTTTCTTTGCTTTTAGCCAAAGGGAAGCTAAGGTTACAACCTAGTTACAACTTCCTCAGGTCTATACTCTTGGGGAATTAGCTCCTAATCCCTTCCCTCAAGTAATTAAAAGCAAGTAAACAGACAAAATAAAACTTAATCAGCCACAAAGGCTTCCCTTTTCTACACACTTCCCCTCATTCTGCTTTTCTGGCCTCAGGTATCCCCAGGTGTTGTGAGTGGATCTACACCCCTGCGCCCCAGATTTGTCCGGGAGATGGTGAGGATACAGTCTGTCAAAAGGGCCCTCACCAATTAGTTTCCAGTTTTGCTCCCCTCCTCAATGCCTGCAAACCTCCTTCCCAGAGGCAACAGGAGCTGGTGGGAAGGAACAACTCAGGAGCCAGAGCTAGAATCTACTGCTAATTGGCCTTGGGACCCTGGGCAAGTCACTTCTCTGTTTGGGGCCACAGTTTCCTTATCTGTCAAGTTTAAATATGATGTACGCTGGATGCATCTGTTAGGCTAAATGTGAGAAGGCAAAGGAAGTTGGAAAATATAGGAAAGGTCTCAAACCTACAAAATACTAGCAATATCTTCATTCAGTTCCTAACTTCTGTTTTTCCCTTCCAAGTGGAGGGTGGCTTACGTTCTCTGCCCACTCAAAAGTACACACTCCTTACCAGCAACAGTTAAAAGGCTGAACCCCAAAACAGAAGTGATACTTCCCTTTTCCTCTTCTGTCTATGCCCAAGCCTCTAACAACTAGCTGGGGAAGAGCATCTGCTGCCTTCTCTTCACAAAGGGAAAGGTGCTTAGTATGGCAGAACGAACTTGGGGTAGGAGGCTGAAGTGGCGGTTTCTTGTGCGATCACTACTGAATCTCAGTATCCTCATCTGTCCAGTGGGAATGAAGCCACCTGCCTTGTCTATTTTGCAGGACCCCGGGGAAGCAGGAATGGGAGGCCCACGTCTTATCCTGACCTAGAAATGCTTCCCTGGCCCTGGGCTCTCATCAGGGAGATTCAAAAGGGGTGTGGAGGCTGAGGGAGGCTGAGGGCCACTACCTTCTTACCTCCACCACCTGTCCAGGGAGAGTCCCAGGAGAGTGGTGCCCAGTGATCAAGGCCTCCTCATCCCGTCCAATGATGGCCCGGACTGGACAAGGGTGTCATGCCTTCCCTCTGTGAAGAGGGACTTCCACCTAGAAGAGTCTGACAGTATTCACCTTGCTTCCTCATTCCTAGGAGGTAGCAAGGGCCTTAAGGGGAGGGAGGCAGAGAGCTAGAAAACTTAAGGAGACCTAGCAGCAGAGAGAAGGAACTGGGTGAGAGGTAAAGAGAAGGGGAGAGACAGAGAAATGAACGCACAGACCCGCAGGGAGAGAAAGGGAAAGTGAAGAGCCGGCAGAATAGAAACAGAAAGGAGGACAGACACAGAGAGATGAAGACAGACTGACAGCGCGGGAGTGTCCGGAGGCGGGGAAGACAAAGGGGACCATCCGGTATTTTTAACTGGTCTGGCCTTTTAGAGACACCCTGTCCCCCAAAGAAAAGCCTCAGGGTCAGGAGGAGGAGGCTTGAGCGAGCAGTGGCTCACCCCGACCTCCGGTCTCCGTCCCGGCGCCCGGCCCCCTCCCCGTCCGGCTCCGGGTCCCGGCCCCCGCCCGGGTCCCACCGTCCCCCCTGCCCGTTCGCTCACCTGCCAGCGCCAGGATCTGGGCCTTGTGCAGCAGCAGCGCACCCCAGTCGCGAGGGGCGCGCGGGGGGCTCTCAGGCCCGGCGCCCAGCTCCTCCGGGCCCCGGTACACGGCGTACACCTTCTGGTTGTCAAAATCCAGACGCGAGCGGGGGCTGAAGTCGCGCACGCACGACACGGGCAGCGCGTAGCAGACGTTGTCCTCCAGGAACCGCACAAAGGCGTACATGGTGGGCGCGGGGGCGGGCCCGGCCGCACGGAGGTGGGGACCCGGCGGGGCGCGAGCCGCGCAGCCGGGCCGGGGGCGGGGGCGGCTCCCCGGGCCGGGGGTCCCCCCACTGTTATTGTTCCTGAAAGCTCCGCTCTGCCAATCGGCTGCTCTGGCCTGGGCGCGGAAAAGAGAGGGAGGGGAAAAGGGGGCGGGGGGCTGACGAGGGGGTTTGGAAGCGCACTGCCACTCGCGAAGTCAGACCCGAGCAATCACAGCCGGAGTGCGTTTCGAGTAGGGAGGGGAAAGGGCAGAGATTGAATTGCAATAATAATAATAATTAATAATAATAATAATGGCATTGCAGAAAAGAATGCATTGACTAAAAGCCTTGTTGGGGAAGGATTATATGGCTTCAACAATCGCACTGCAAAACAAATTGCACTACAACAAAAATCAGCATTGCAAAGGAGAGGCGAGACTGCGAGGGAATGAATGTGGCGCAGGGGGCAATCCTGTTTGGATCTCTAACTGTAAACTTGCACTTGTAATGGAGCAGAATTTTAGTGTTTCAAATAATTTTAGCCACTCCTCTCAGCCCTTATAGTTCACTTTTTTTTCCTTCTTTCTTTTCTTTTTTCTTTTCCCAAAACTGCCAGCTCCTGCGGTGGGGAGGGTCAGTCCGCCAGAAAAGTTCCCCAGAGCTGCCAAACTAGTTCTGACCAGTACTGGGGCTTATCTGGGATTTCCAGTTGGACCAGCTGGCTGGTGTAGCAAAAGGTCTGTTGAGGGCTGCTCTCAGCCAAGGCCTGGGGGGTGCCTCTGTAGTCTCCCTTCATGGAGCACCTCTCCCTGAACTGGGCGGGACCAGTTGGAATGAAGTGAGAAGTGCAGGGGTGTTCTGAGGAAGGCAAGACCAGGGCTGGCTGGCATTTCTGGAGCGCCTTGAAAAGTTCAGGAATGGGATTCTGGAATAGCAGTCCGTGGTCTGTCCCTACTACCAAAGGCCTAAGAGATCCTGGAGGGTTTTGGGTCTTCCCAGTCAGGCCATGGACACCAGCTGAAAGAGGGCGACTGGGCTCCACATTCATAGGAACTATCAGAACTTGAGTTTTAATGTTGGATTCCTGTGCCAAAATCAGGTCACTATATGAATAATACACCTTTTCTGTCCTAAAAACCCAAAAATCTGGTTAGGGAGTATTAAGTATTTATGTTATAGTGAGGAAAGTATTCTCATAGAGGAATGCTTAATGGCAATGGCAGCCTCAATTAAGATATATATATATATATATATATATATATATATATATATATATATATGTATATATATTCATCTTAATAAACTCAACCTATAAAAATAAATGCACCAAAATGCAAAATGTTGTTTCTTAATAGTGGTGGGTGGCTTTACTTTCTTTTGTGTTTTATACTTATACATTTATATTTATTTTCCACAGTAAGCAGGTATGACTTTATAATCAGAAACATTACTCTTTTAAAAGCACTGTGCTCACATTTAAAATCAAATATACTAATGATGAAGTAGAAAAACCAAAACCCCAAATTACCTTACTGTGATTTAGGAAATACATTATACAGATGAACCCCATCAACACACACCTCCCAGATCCAAATGTACAGGTCAAGCTCCTTTAACCAAGCCCTAGTGTATATGTGGTGCCCATCAGACATGTTCATGAGTTGTCCTGATGCAGATGTTGGCCTTATGTTGCCCCACACACTTGTGGTAAAAAGAAGGCCACTCTATTGTTTCAGCAGATTTATCTTCGTAATTATTATTTCTTTGGACTGATCTTAAGGGAGTTTTTATTTTAATAATACACTCCTATGGTCATCAAGGGGAAGTAATGTATAGCAGGACTTCTGACAATTCACAAGATGGATCATGCAGAGTTGGCCATATTTAATGAAAATCCCTGAAACTCCAAACTGTGCTTGCAAAGTAATTTCAAGTAGCACCATGCCCAACCGCCTATCCCATCTATATGAGGGTGACCCCTAAATATGTTACCGGTCTCATCTCCAACCACCTTCCTGGACACAATACACCCCAACACCTGAACCTATTTGACACTTCCCACGCGAGCTTGTTTTATGAGGTCCCAAGCCTTTGTGCTTGCTCTGCCCGAATCCTGGGAAGCATTTCCTCCTGGAGTGCACGGTGACCTCAATGTCCCCTGAAGACCAGCTCAAATGCCATCTTCGCTGTGAAGCCTTCTTTAACCACTGCCTCTCCTCAAGCACAGGCGGTCTTTTTCTACTATCTTGTCCCACAACCTTTTATCTTCCCTCATTGGCACGAGCTCTTTGAGAGGTGACAAAAAGGCTGAATAACTTTAACATCCCAGGTTCCTTGCACAGGGCTGGGGAGTAAATGCTTATAGAACAAATGCATTAAATAAAGACACAGAGAGCACAATAGGAAACCTTTTGCATGGTTTCTTTTGAAACTCTGTCCCTTTTGGAGTTGGAGCATAATCCCAACTCTGTCTTTCCCACTCGCAGTGACCACAGGACAGAATGCCGATTCCACTCCTTGTAAGACAGGCACATTCATGAACGCAATAAATACCACTGCACCCTCAAGTTCAAACAAATTCCCCACCCGAGTCAGTGTAAATAATTCTCACAAGGAGGCAGTTCCATTTCCCAAGAACCCAGAAAGAAAAGAACAAACAATGAAATGAATGCCAGCAGAGTAAACACAGACTCAAATATGTTTTGCATGTAGGTGCGTAGAATGGATTTTAGAGAAGGAACGGCAGGTACAGGATACGCCAAGAAACACCCTTGGGCAGCCTCAGAGCAACCAAAAGAGTTTCTGTTTCCTGGGTGACTCTCACAGTCAGTCTGTTAACATAGCTTCATGGAGAACCTACTAAGTGCTTCCTCTGCCTTAGTGAAAACCATCAGAGTACCTCTTTGATCTAGAGCCCACAGCCCTAGGCTTTACATGTACCAGAAACTCAAGATGTTGGTGATTCATTGATTGGCAAGTAAAGACAGTTCAAAAGAATAGATTTCAGAGGTGGTTAAAAATGTTAATTTCAACCAAATTGTAGTTGAATCCTCTCTTTAATACCCTTGCCAAATGGTCATCCAGGTTCCTCTGATAGAGTTCTAATGTCAGGAAGTTTACTGCCACCCCTTAACTTTTGGAAACTACTGATTGATGGTTAGAAGGGCCTTTCTTAGTTACACTGAGGTGGAATCTTACATCTTATAGCTTCCAGACTAAGTTCACCACCAAGAGTCTCATGTCAGCCCTTCAGATATGGGAAAACTTGGGATTCTCTCTCCTTAGGAACTTTCTTTTTTTTTAATCCTTACCAGAGGAGTGAAGATATTTTTTTCCATTGCTTTTTAGAGAGAATGGAAGGGAGTGGGGAAGGGGGGAGAGAGAGAGAGAGAGAGAGAGAGAGAGAGAGAGAGAGAGAGAGAGAGAGAGAGAGAAACATTAACACATTAACGTGAGAGACACATAGATTGGTTGCCTCCTGTTCACACCCTGACTGGGGCAGGGATTGAGCCTACAACAGAGGTATGTGCCCTTGACCAGGCTCTTTCCTTAAGATCTTGTCTGGTTTTTGCCCAGGCATTTTCACATCCTTCACCTTCACCTCTCTCATATGACCTGGATTCAGTGATGATAACTGTGGTAACTACTTTTCCTCCAAAGCATTCTATAAACCTTGCATGCCAGACACCAAGATCTCAATTAATTTCACACCGAACCCTTGAAATAGGTCTCAACCCCATGACAGAGTTAAGAAAACTGAGACTTATGGCAAAGCAGTTTGGCTCTGGGGAGTCCTGGAAGGTTTGAGGTCATATCTGAGAGCTTGTTTGGAGGTTCTAGCAGGGAGTGCAACTACTCATATACTTTTGACTAAAGATCGGTGTGGTCCTCCCCTCCGGGGGGAAGGTCGTCCACTTCAACAGAGTGTGCAGCTTCAGGAGAGATGCACATGGGTGAGGGAGGAAGGGGAAGCTCGCCTAGCCAGCCAGATCAGGCAAATCAACCCTGGTGACAATGGGGTGACAGATGTCGAAGCCAGATCATCCTCACATCCCATATTTGCACTTAGACAGACTTAGCCATGTGAAGGACGGCTTAGAGGGGAGGCAAAACTGGGGAGTGGGAGGACTATGGAGACTGACTGTGCTCTCCCTGGCCCTCCTCTAACTCCCTCTTTCTGTGGACCAAATGTGCTTTGCCTCTCATCCAAGTTATTTTAATGGAGCAGAAAATGTACACATCTGGGGCAGCTTTGCAACTGCAACTCTATTGTGCTTTCCTGTTGTGTTTTGCAGACCCTTGGGTTAATGTCAAGCTCCTTCAGTTCAGCCAGCTGAAGCATGCTCAGTGGCAGCAGCGAGACTTGTGTTTCATATTACTGCATGGAATTCTCTATGTACTTTGCAAAACTATTTTAAGGAGACCTGGGTTCTGTGCATTTTTAAAGCAATTGGAGCGTGTCTTTTCAACCTCTCTGCTAATGATTGACCACATTTTTTCATGATTTTGCTTTTTTCCCCTGTGATATTTAATTTGACTTTTCAAGTATTTGCTTTTAATTAATTAATTTTTTTTTTTTTAATTTGCTCAGAAAAGTAACTTGTGCAATAATCTCAGGACCACTGTCTTCCTCGGTGAGTTTAAGGAAGACATGTTGATACATGGTTAGGAGGATCTGGAACTGTTGGGAGGCCTCTGGTGGGCATTACTCTGAGCTGGATGCTATCAACCCAAAGCTGAGGCATCAACCCAGTGCATCCATGTGGTCCCCTGATCATGAAGTCTGGCTAAGTCTGGTTGTGGGGTTTTGGACAGGGGAAGAGAGGAGTAGAAAGGAAGAAGGCAGGAAAGAAGAAGTTGCATGTTGAATACAGGCTCAGAGGCCAGTGCATATCACCTGGAGTTAGAGGGAGTGCCAGTTGGCCATGCATGTGACAGCTTGGAGGCCTAAAGTAATGGGGGCTTTGGACTCAGACCAGGGCTTCAATCATGACTTTGCCTCATCTTTGCTGTGACTTCAGGCAAGGAAGTTCACCTTCTTGAGTCTCAGTTTTCTTACCTGTAAAATGGGGATATTGAAACATATCTTCTGAAGGTGTTGTAAGAATCGAGGTAGAAGTTTT